TTTTTGAAATTTAACATATTAGGTACCTCACTTTGACATCAGATTGTGAAAAACGCTCAATGCAGGCTTGGTCAGGAAACGAGTGCGATCGCACTCGATAACTGACCACAGAAATAATATTTAATTGCGAAAAACCAGCCAGATTTTTTAGTCGTTTTGAGAACATTTAAATTTATATTGGTTTCCTTAATTAAGTTCATTATTTTATCGTAAATTTTAAAATATTTTGTTTTACGGACATACATGGAAACATTCATAAACTCGAATGTTTTCAAACATCTTTGTGCGGAAAATAAAAAAAGAATATTTGGGAACACAAAAAACCCGCCAAATCTATGAACAACTAATGCTATTGGTTATAAAATACTAACCGAAATTTCTAGAGTATTCTGTTGAAATATTTTAAAAAATTGTATTATTTGAGTTTTGTTATGTTTTCGTTGAGATTTCTAGCATAAATTGTTTTAAGAATATACTATCAAACAAACTATTATTTTATTTCTCGGAGCCACATCTACAAAGCTATAAATGTTTTAAACTAACATTATTTGTTTACAAAAACAAATGTTTTAAATTTATCTTTTTTAACTTGTCAACGTTTTGTAAATATATTATAGGTTTTATTAGTATATTCTTATTTTTATATAATGGATGTATTTTTTATGTATGTAATGTATTTTTTATGTAATGTATTTTTATGAATGTGTTTTTTGTGCATTTAATTTTATGTATGTGTATTTTACCAGGAAAGAAAAGTTTTTAAGTTCTTAGAAATTGGTTTACTAACTTTAATTATTTTTGCTTCAGCCATTCTTACAAACTCGTTATACTTAAACCTAAAGTTACTTTTTTCTGTTTTAAATACTAATTAAAATTATAAAGCCCACTTATTAAACATCTTCAGCGTTATTGTGAAGCAGTTCCGCTTCCTCCTCACAATGTAATTTAACGTTTTTAGTTAATTTCTATTTAGCTAATTGAATTTCTGAGTTTTATTGGTTGAATCATGTTGAACTTTTCAGGGCTGGGGACTGCATTATTTTGGCAGCTTTTTTTATGCGCCACAGCGTAAAAATGACTAAAAAAATACCAAATGGATCTCTTGACTATTTCACGGCCCCCAACATTGTGAGTCTCGAGGCTATAGCCCTTCTACCCCCTCCTCCTACCTCCTCAATCCAGCACTGGAAATAAGACATAAGTATATAAATAAAAATTATGTATACTCTTTGATAAATCTAAGAACATTTGTTTCCTAATTAAACAATCATTAATAGTAAGTTGTTGCTTTATACAAAAAATGTCACTTAATTTTATAAAAAAAATTATAAAAGAGCGACGTTTCAAAAATATTTGCTCTAATCATATTTATTTTGCTTAAAGTTTTTTCGTGTCTTTTTTAACTGTCTCTCATCGGTCCAGTTAATCTTATTGGGCTTTTTAGTTTGTTTTTGAAATGTTCTCAAAACGACTTAAAAATCTGGCCGGCTTTTCGCAACTAAATATTATTTCCGTGGTCAATTATCGAGTGCGATCACACCCGCTTCCCGACCAAGCCTGTCATTGTTTATGCAGTGGGGTTTTGGATTTCAACAATTCAAGGGTAGTAGAGACTTTTAGGCTAAAAACTGCTTCTGCACTACTTAGTTTCCACTTGACCAATTTTAAGGTCTCTATTAACTAGACTACAAGATTAACACTATTGAAAATGCCTAAAAATTGCAGTATTAAAAAAATTTTTTGTCAAAAAATATAATCCCTATTTCCATTTATGTTTTATAATGTGCTTGTATTTTTTGTGCAAACTCAAAAAGTCTTTTCAAAGAAAATGCCAAACTAATTTTTTTTTTAATATTTGAAAATTAAAACTAACAGTCCTAAAATTAAAAATCAAACAGTACCAGTTTGATCTAACTTCATAATATCATAAAAAATGGCTCCATTTGGAGCCATTTGTTACGGCTTAGGGTTTATCAATAGTAATGAGGCAATTACTTGGACTATTAAATAGTGTACTGAGTATTATCTATGTTTTAAGTCAAGATCTTAAACCAATATAAAAAATGACTAAAGTATCAAAACTATAAAACATAAAAAACTGTCGTCATCACCTAGTTCTCTAAACCTATCATTCACTAATATTCATGGTCTTCGAAGTAACTTTTCTTCTGTTGAGTCTGATCTCTTGCAAAGTTTACCAGGCCTAATTGCTCTTTGTGAGACTAATTTGAGTTTGGCTGTCTCATCTTGTGATCTTAGTGTTGATGGCTATCTTCCTTTAATTTGTAAAGACTCCAATAATCATATACTTGGCCTGGGCGTTTATATTCGTAAGAATTCACCCATTTGTTGGGAAACTAGGTTTGAGTCTACCGACTATTTTTTTATGTGCTTTTATTTAGCACCACTTCACTTTGCTGCCTTTCTCTTTTTTCTATATCACTCTCCTTCATCTTAAGACTACACTCTTCGATGTTATTTCTGATCAAAAAGACCAAGCCCTCTCTCTTTATCCATCAGCCAATATTGTTATTAGTGACTATAATGCTCATCACACTGAATGGCTTGGCTCTGGTGTCAGTAACTTTGCAGGCGTTAAAGCTTACAATTTTTGCCTTTCTCAATTTCTAACTCAAATAGTCAACTTTCCAACTTGTTTTCCAGACAACCTGAATTATTTACCTTCTCCACTGGACTTATGTCTTGTTTCTGATCCTAGGCAGTGCTCAGTTTCTCCACATTCATCCTTAGGTGGTTCTGATCACGGTTTGATCTCTCTAAAACTATTATCTCATTCTTCTTCATCATCTGAAGAAGAATAAGATAATATCCCTATCATTGTACCTCTTACAACTACCTTAAAGCTGGCTGGGACTCTTTCCGTGACTTTTTTCATGATGGCCCTTAGGTAGAAATCTTTTGTCTTCCTGCTGACAAATGTGCTTCTAACATTTGTCAGCAGGAAGACAAAAGACTTCCAAACTTCTTGGATTCAGGCTGGCATGGAATCTTCTATTCCCTTTCGACAATTCCAAATCAAGCCTTGCTTTCCTCCTTGGTTTACCTCACATTGAGTTGCTGCAATTTCCAATCGAAACCATTATTTCATATCTATCAGCAAACCAATTCTCCAGAAAACAGGCATCTATTTACTATTGCTAGAAACCATTGTAAAATTGTTTTGTCTAATGTCAAAGCCTGCTATTATCAGGTTATTAAATCTCGTTTTTTATCTCAAAAATTAGGCTCTCGTGACTTCTGGAGAATCTCTAACAGTATCAATAATAAGGGCAAATCTGTTATTCCAATTTCTTTTCCACTGTTGCATTCTACCTAATATTGCAGACAAACAGGTTGATCCATTGCTTGACATTTGTATTACTCCAGCTTCTGTAACTAAAGTGATTTCCTGCTTAGACTCTTCTACAGCTTGTGGTTCGGACAACATACCTGTTGTAGTCTTGCAGAAGTGTTCTCCAGAGCTGTGGTCTATACTTTCAAAACTATTTAATAAGTGCGTATTGGAGTCTTGTTTTTCAGTATGCTGGGAAGCGGCATCTGTTATCCCTATTTTAAAAATTCTGGAGAGCAATCTGACTCGTCTAACTACCGTTCTGTGTGATAAAAAGTATAAAATTTTAGATTAAATTTCAAAGCTTTGTGATTTTTGAACCGTTTGTATTTAGGAACATGTTTCATTGATTAGTACTAATGGTTAAAATTTGAAGAGAATATAAGAGGATGACTAGAAAGTTATTTTAAAAAGACTGGAAAGTTAAAATTTTTATTCTACTTTTTCATAGAACAACATTTAAATGTCTTTTTTTTCTAATCCTTGTTATTTAGTTTGTGCCAATTATTATTATTCATGCTTCATCTATTATTATTATTCATAATATATTTCTATTGATGAAATTCATTTAATTGATTTTTATTAAAATTTAGTCTCCGTAAAAAATGGTTAATTCAAAAGTTATAATCCAAAACATACAGTTTTTTTATATTTGATCCAACTCTCAAACATCCCTCATCCTTTTATTTGTAAATTTTTTGTTTATGGTTTTAATAATTGGGAAAAGACAAATTTTTAATGCAGTTTAACTCTTTGTATAACTATCTTTGCAACAAAATCCTTTTGAAAAAAGCAACAAACAATTGCTTTTTTCAGCTGTTGATTTTTTTTTTTTTTTTTTTTTTTTTTTTTTTGATTATGGGCTTTCTTACAAGAATTGTTTCTTGCTTTGTGGATAGGTTAATTCTTAATGTCTTTAATTTCATGGTATTAATACTAATCTAAATGTAAAATAATTTTAAAGTATTCAAAGCTTTTATACCTGTTAGTCCCTGGTTCATAACAATTTTCATATAACTTTCTGCAATATGTATTTCTGTTTATGATTGGTAAGCATTTTTTTTAAGCTACGAAAATGAAATGAAAAGCAAAGGAATTAAAAACAAAAATTTACAAGAATTTTAGAACTACATTCAATAATTTTTTTTCTCAAGTTTTTAACATCTTTGGAAAAAAAAAGTGACTTTTATATGACAGTGTTTGTGGTTCACTGAATTGTTCTGCAAAAAGTAAGTTTGAAGTGATATTTAATTTCTTCAAGAGAAATTTATTAACAGTTTTTTTCAAAACCCAGGTATTTATTCTAAAACTTTCAGAAAATATGGCCAATTTAGTTTAATTTGTTTTTTGGTTGCAAAAGATGTGGTCAACTTTATCATTTAAAATAATATATAAAATACTTAAGAACTCATACTTACCTAAAATAAATACCAGTTAAGACCATTTTTTTATCAGTAATGAAAATGTTATCTTTGTCTACAAATAATTTTCATATCTTTTTTGTGGTGCACAGTTGGTATATAATAGTAACTTTAGTTTTTATTTATTTATTTATTTTTTCAAATGATTTATAACTGATTTTTTTTTTTCAAATGATTTCTTAAAATCCCGAAATACCATAATTAAATTTCTTTAAATTTTAATTTAGGAAACATCGTTTTGATCATTCTACAATACTTGCTATTTGCATATTTACAATTGTTACACTGATTTGGCTTTTTTCTGCTTATGTTTGTCAGTTCATTTTGCGTCGGCTCTTAAGCAACTGGAGTTTGATGAAAAATGCAAGGTTTTAAGATTTCATTCCTTAGCATTAAAACTGTAATCTGTTTTTTAATATTTATTTTTTATATTTTATATAAATTTTATCTATTTTTTAATAATTAAGAGGCTGTTTTATATCAATATTAGTAGACTATTACTATATTTAAAATAGTTGTTCTTAAATGCCGGGTTTGTTAACCATGAGATAAGGAGTAAGGAGAGAGTGAAAAAGATCCTCAAATTCTGAATGTAGGCGGTGCCCAAATACAGTCAGCGCTGTCAAAAATAGTCTAGAATAGTCCCTGATATATATATATATCATATATATATATATATATATATATATATATATTTATATATATATATATATATATATATATATATATATATATATATACACATATATACAGGGGTTATTCTAGAAAAAAGGCAACAAGTGCTGTAAGGATATCTGATGAAAATATTGTCCAATAAAGCATTTTTCTGTGGAAAAAAATAATATTTTCCATTAAAGAAAAAAGGACCTCATTTTCTAAATTTGGGCAAATTTGCCCAATAAAGTCAACGCTGTGGGATAGCCCTTAGATATAAATATATATAGATATCTTCTCAACCAATAAAAACATTTGATGTGTGCCTAAGAGCGCAGCAGCGTGAAAAAGAAAGTTATGCTAAAGTTATTTGCACATTGTATGAAACATTAAAATAAATTTTTTTTTTAGGGAAAAAGTTTGAGGAATTAAATGTTTTAAATTAGAAATTAATTATTGATAATAAATAAAGTAATAAAAAAGATTTTAAAATAAGTTATTAGAGATTTTGTTTTAAAAAAAACTATTAAAAGTTTAAATTATTATTTATATATTTTTAAACTCTCTTTTATCTTAAACTTTCTGTCTTTAATTTTGTGTATTTTTACACATATCTGCAAAAGAGTTGATTAAGATTTAAATAAGATATAAAAGTATTTTATATCTTATTTCACGATTTCTTTTATATAAAATGTTTGATCATCACTAGACTCCTTCCAACTGTTGTAATAAGCAGTTGTTTTTTAATGATTAAAATTAAATTCTTGTAGTAAAACATGCAGAATTTCCAAAAAAATTTGGAAATATCGCTTTAAATAACTCTTGTAATAACTTGAATATATAAATGCAAATGGTCATTCAACTTGATATGAACTTGATCATTCAATTTAATATCAACAAGAAAGTGAACCAAAGTAGTTCTGGTAGCTTAGAAATATGATATAATTTAAAAAAAATATATAAAGATTTAAAATATGCTAATAAAATATGGCAGACATTAATTAATATAACTTTCACGCCAAATTAAAAACCTAGAACTGTTGTTACTTCTGACATATTCTTATTGTGGGTGTGCTAAATATATATTCAAAACCAAGAACTGTTGTAACTACTCACTTATTCCTATTGTGGGTGTGCAAATATAGATTTAAAATTGATGGGAAAAAATAATTTTGTACATTTTGTGCATCCATTTTGAGCAGCCATTAAATCAAAATAAAAAATGTTTGAGTTTATGTAAATATAATTGTGTGATCAAAATCAGTTTTTAAAAGAAAATATTATTTGTCAATAACTATTATTAATTTTTTTTTTAAGTTTTGTAATAATATATCATAAAATTTGATTTTCAGAGGTAAATTAACGATAATGAACAAGCTTTGGCTGGTAAAAATTTTATTTTATCTTTTTTTATTTTAGTAATTTTATATAAATATTAATGTTGTATTATAATATAAATATATTTAATAATATAAAATAATATAAAAGTAATATAAAGTATTAAATTTAGCATACATTATGACATGAAATATTTAGCATACATTATGACATGAAATATTTAGCATACATTATGACATGAAATATTTATTAATAACTTAATATTTGTTAGTTAGCTACAGAATGATTTTTAATTTTAGGTTTCTGTCAAAGTTCTGAGTGGATTTAATCCAGGACTGTATAGTTTTCAAAATTCTCTTCCCAAGCTACCAGTTCCATCTTTAGAAGATACACTGCAACGAGTTTGTTGTTTACTTTAAATTTATTTAAATATTTTTATTTAAATATTTTTATCATTTGTTAAATTTACTTTGATGTTATTTTTTATACCACAACACATAAAAAGTTTACAATGATCTTGTAAAAATTATTTTCAAAGTTCTGCTTTATTATTACGTAATTATATATAAAATTTTGAATTTTTATTTTAACTAAATTTTAGCTAAAGAATAATAGTCTTTTGATCTTTCTTTTTTTTGTTTTTTGATATTTCTTTTTTTTCAAGCATCAATGCTTGAAAAATCTTGTTTGATGTAATAAGTAGAACAAATGAATAGTTCATATATTTAATAATAAAGTTTATTGAAAATTCATTTAACGTTTTAAAAGGTGCTCATTACTCTCAAAAAAATACTCAAGTAATATTATATTGTATTAAAAAAGGTTTGTTACTAAAGAGTTACGATGTTGTGGCAAGAGGTAGGGGGTCAAAATGGATAAAAATTGTATGACGTAAGTTATGGATGAACCCTTTTTAATTATTGTTTAAGGATTTTTTTTTTTTCAGCACTTTTTAGTTAGTTTTTAGTTGCTGTTTAAGTTTTTTTCACTTTTAGTTTAGTTTTCAACAGCTGGTTTGAATTCTTTTTTTTAATTGGTTATACTATTTGTTCATCTGAAATTGATATAAACATCTGAAATTGATATAAACTTAAAACGTTTATAAACTAGTTTGTTTTGTTTTTTTATAAGAAAAGTTGTATTTTGTAAAAGTTTTTATTTAAAAATTTTTCTAACAATATTATTTAAATTTTTAAGTTAAAATATTGGTTAATAAAAAAATTTCCATATTTAATTTACTCTTTTAAAAAAAAGTTATCCAAGTATTTATTTTTTTCCTTTATTAAATTTTTTACAGATAATCATTTGTAAAGAACTTTAAATATATTTATACATAATATCTTAAAACTCTTTAGAAACTATGAAAACACTGTACTAACACAGACATTAAATTTATTAATAAATGCACTATTACATCTTTAAACAAAAATAAGCCATTATCTTCCAAGTAACACGATTATATATATATATATATATATATATATATATATATATATATATATATATATATATATATATATATATATATATATATATATATATATATATATATATATGAGTAGCAGTAACACCATTATGTATGTGTGTATATATGCATTTATTTTTTATATATATTTGAAATATTTCTATATTTTAAAATATTTTTAATATAGAATTCAGTAACTGTCAAATTTTGTAACTATAATCTGTCAAATTTTGTTAAGTTTTTATAAAGATTGTATTTATAGAATATTAATATAAAAAAAAAATGTTTTCAATTATGTTCTTGTTAATATTATTAACAATAAAATATGTTGTATTTATTTAGCATTTGAAATCTGTTGAACCTTTCATGAGTGAGGCCGATTATAACAATGTTGTTCAGCTCACAGAGGGTTTTAAGGTATTGTGTTTTGCTTTTAAAGCTAGAAGACTGCAGTTTAAAATAGTTTTATCTTATGTAATTGACAAATGTAAATAGGGCTTCAGTATATACATCAACTGAGTGTTTGGGCAGGTATTAATTAGATATGAAGACTAAATAATTATAAATTTTTGTATTTAGTTTGAAAATGGCTCAGCCAAATTATTACACCTAAAGTTTTTTAATAAGTTATAGCAATATCACTGTAAATGATTTACATATATATTGTATTTATATTAGTGGTGTTTAAAAAAAAAAAAATTATTTAAATACACAAAAAGCCAAATTTGGGGCAAATATAAAAAAAATAAGATTACAAAAAAAAATTCCAGAAATATTGATGTTTACTTGTGCTCGAGCAGCAAAATACCCTGAAAAATGCTCCAAATTGTTCCTAAATTATTTGGCTTTGAGCGCAAGGTAAATCTCAATATTTTTTTAAAATTGTTTTTCTAATTTGATCATAATGGTCTTAATTTTTTTTTTTTTTTGATTGTTGTGTATCCTAGTTTTTTCATAGCTGTTTATATTAAAAAAAAGATTTTGCAAAAAAAGAATTTTGCGCAAATAAAAAATAAATAAAAATTTCTTTTCTTTTTTTTTGCTTAAAATATGCAAAATCTTTTTAATCAACAATTATTTTAAATTATTTTAATCAACAATTATGAAAAAAATAAAAAATTTGGACTATTAGGATCATATATAAAAAAAATATTTTACAAAATATTGAGATTTAACTTGCGCTCAAAGCCAAAAAATTTAACAACAATTAACAATTTTTTGGGATATTTTGTCATTTTGGGCATTTTTTGGGATATTTTGTCGCTTGAGCACAAGGTAAACGTAAATATTTTTTGATTTTTTTTTTTTTTTTTTGTAATCATGTTTTTTTATATTTGCCCCAAATTTGGTTTCTTGTGTATTTGCATTTTGAATTTTTTTTTTTTTTGAACACCTTTATTTATTTGTATGTAAATATTTATTTTATAAACTTTTTTTGCAAACTGACATTGACAACATTGTCAATTGGGTTCAAGTTTTTGGCTTATGGAAATAAATATTAGGAAATGTAAATAATGCATTTCAAACAATCCAAATCCGTTCCACACCAATACTTTATTGATGACCGTGGCTCAAACAATAGTCTTAACAAAATTCAATTTGAATCGACATCATCAGAAAAAGACTTTGGTGTTTCAATTTCCAATGATCTAAAGCAAAATTTCCAAACATCTATTGCTGCAGCCAAGCCTAACAAGATGCTTGGTATCTTAAAACTTAGCTTCATAAGCATAGATGCACAACTCTGGAAAAAGCTAAATACAACTTATATACGTCCACTTTTCGAATTTTCCATTTCCGCTTGGTGTCTTTATTTAGAAAAGAACATTTCTGTAATTGAAAGCATTCGAAGGTGTGTTACAAAAGTACCGCAAGAAATGCCTTTCAATTATAATTCAAGATGTATCAAACTTGGTCTCACTTCTCAATGCGAACAAAGAAAACGATTGGACCTTATTCAAAAATTTAAATTAGTGAATAAAATTGAGTTAGTTAACTTATTTATTAATCCAATTAACATTCCCCCCAGCTATGAATTTCGGATCCAATACCATTGTGAAATCAACAAAAACTTTCAAGTCCGATATAACTTTTTTAACAACTGTGTAGCAAACGCATGGAATGCTTTGCCAGACAATGTAGTAAATACTACCTCAGTGAAAAAGTTCTAAACTAATTTAGACCGGCATCTAAAACCATAACACATCATTTTCTGTGGCTGCTTCAATGCTGCTATATGAACTAGCTTTGCTAGTTAATGATGAACTAATGGTTCGTGTATTGTTGCTTGTAACTTATTAATAATAATAATAATTATATATATATATATATATATATATATATATATACACACACACATTAATATATATATATATATATATATATATACATATATGCATGCTATAAAAATAAGCAAAACTAGCGAGCAAATGCTTATATAAATACACTATAAAAGATATATATATATATATATATATATATATATATATATATATATATATATATATATATATATATATATATATATGTATATGTATATGTATATGTATATATAGAACCCTGTAAACCTGTATCTTTTTTAATAAAATAAAAATATTTGAGTGAAATTAATATAGTATTTTTAAGAATAGTTTCTTGAGAGAATATTAAATGGTTAAACAGGGCAAGTAGGCATTATTATTCTGCAAAAGAGTTTATAAAATATTAATGATTGTTTTTGCATTCTGGATTTACTTTAATCAAATGATGAAATTAAAATTTTTGGATATAAATATGAAGCCTCATTTAGGCAAAGCAAAGCAAGGTCATCTCATATTAATGTGGTATTACAATATTAATAAATACATTTGAGTTTTTGATAATAGAAAATATAATTATTCAAGAGGAGATTATAATTCCTTCAACAGGTTTATTGAAGATAAAAAGTGGAGTAGCTTGTTTTTAGAATGTGAGATTACCGAATGTTTTAAAGTCTTCTCGAGAATGATGGTTGTTTGAAATTTTTTTGGAAAAGAATGTTAGTAGGGCATTTGAATGAACCGTGGTTTAATAGCAAAGTCAAACAATTGGTGACTCGAAATAGTTCCAAATGGCAAAAATATATAGTCAGTGTCAAAAAAATTTAGATTGTCCATGATTATAAAAGTTTACAAAACTTTACATCAAAAAAAAAAATTCATGATTACAAAAACTTACATCAAAAAAGAGGTTGGTGATGGAGTTTAAAAAAAAATAGCATCCAATTGCAAAAATAATCCAAAATCATTCTATTCCTATGTTATCAACAAATATAAGCAACAAGATTCTGTAAAAGTATTAAAAAGTAATCAAAACAATTTAACCTCAGATTAAAAAGAGATGTACAAAATATTTAATTTTTTTATTGTTTAAATGTTTTTTTGTTTTATGTTTTTTTAAAAAACATAAAACTTCTTGAAAATGATGTTTACAATAAAGTTTATGCTGTTGGTTTACAAACAGTAAGAATTTATACTTTACCTAAGATGGCACTAACTCAGTTAAGATTCTTCTCTACCACCTTTTAGACCAATTATTTCAACAATCGGGTCATATGATTTTAAATTTGAACGTCTTTCTAATTTACTGTCTCCTTATATACCTAAATCTTATTCCATCAGTGACTCTTTTTCTTTTGTTGAGGAATTAAAACAAGATATAACTAACAAATATATAGTTTCCTATGATGTTGAAAGCTTATTTACTAATATTCCTCCTAAAAAAATTATAAATATAGCTACTGATTTATACTTTAAAGATGAAATGTGTTTAAAATATTTTTCTAAAGCTCAGTTCAAAAAATTACTTCAAATCTCAACATCCGGTTCTCATTTCTTTTTTGACTGGAAATATTATGATTAATTGGATGGCGTTGCCATGGGTTCTCCTTTAGTGCCAATTTTACTTAATATTTTTATTGGGCTTTATGAACAAAAATGGGTTAGTAATTGGTCTTTCTCCTTACTAATTTTCTATAAACGTTATACTGATGATATTACCACTATTTTTTATTCAGAGTTTTAAGCTCAGGAATTTTTTTAATACCCTAATAAACAACATGAAAACTTAAAATTTACTATGGAAAAAAAAACAAGATTATTAAATTGCATTTTTAGATGTTCTTATCAATAAGTCTGTTTCGCTTTCCACCTCAATTTATCACAAAAAAACATATACAAGTTTTTTTACAAAAATTTTCTAGTTTTGTTCCCTATTGTTATAAAATTAGTCTTATACATTTTTTGATTAATAGAACCTATAAAATCAACAACGCATAGCTTGGATTTGATAAGGACATAAAATATCTATATATTGTTTTAAAAAATAACCAATATACACCAAAAATAATTGACATTGAAATTATATTGTTTGTTGATAAAAAGTTAAATCCATTTTTATAAATAGTATTAATAATCCTAATATAAGATATTACAAACTTTCATTTGTTGGATTTTACTCAATTTTTAAAAATTTTTGAATCGTTAAAAAATTTTGTAAAGATGTCGTAATTAATTTAATTTTCACAACCAACAAATTAAAAAATAGTTTTTGAATAAAAGATCCACTTCCTAAGCTGCTCAAATCCAATGTTGTTTACAATTTTTCTTATGTTGGCTGTAATACCAGTTTTATTGAAGAAACCTCCAGACATTTACCGAATAGAATTTATGAGCATTTTACAAGTGACAAACAATCTAATGTTTACAAGCATTTAATTTCATTCGTTAGTTGTAAAAATCTAACTAACTATAGTTGTTTTAAAATTTTTAGATACTGCTACTAACATAACAGATCGAAAATTAATGAAGTTCAAAATTTTGAAATAGGGTTCGGCAAATCAACAAACATGTGAATGTTTAGCATAAAATTGACAAAAAAAACAAACCCTGAATCAGCTTAAAAATTTAAAAAATAAATGCAGCATGCATGCATGCATTTAACCATTTTTCAACATTCGAAGGATAATAATAAAAAATCCCTATACACTTCTATATATAAATATTTCATAAAAAAAGCATCTTTATCATAAAGATATATTTCATAAAAAAGCATTATTAAGAAAAGTAATATTTTCACCACAACAACATTAAGACTAAAGGTCATTGTTCCTTTTCTCACAGATAATAAAATCCTTTTCCCACAAATAAAAGTACTGGAAAATTATTCCTTAATTAAATGTTAATTTATATATAAAAATATTTAAAATATAAAAATAATTAATTAAAGATGTTATTTAAATATAATCAAATATATAAAAATAAATACTAAAATATATAAACTTAATACTGTATATAAAAAACAACTTATACATTTTTAATAAAAAAAAAACAATCATATTCGAAATATGAATTTCAAAAAAAAAAGAAAACTAAATATGAGGCTACTTTTAATTGTGGTTA